TCAGCCCCGTTGTTAATGCTACCTAACACATCTACGGATGCACCACCCTTTGTCATCGATACAGACGCTATGGAATCCGTGTGATCAAACCTACAAAGACCCCGTGCAAGGCAGAACCGTAATGGATATGTCTACTATGACCCCTTCAGACGAACAACCCCAACCGCTCTCTGAAGGCCCCATTACAGACGAAATCAAACCTTCAGATAACTCGGGTATTACATAGGGGTTTCGTTGGCCTGTATACTCGAGTTACCTGAGGGCTTGGTCTCGTCTGTTTTGAGGTCTTTGGGAGGTAGTTGAGGCTGTTCGTCTGTAGAAGGCATAGCAGGCATATCCATCACGTCTCTTCCTTGTGTGGTGTCTTATAGGTCTGATCACGCATATGAATATGGTAAGTCGATTGGAAGCTGGCGCATATTACTCCGCTACACAAAGGAGGTGACAGGGCAGCGACGACAAATTACCGGCCCATAAGCTTGACATGCATTCTCTGCAAAGTTATGGAAAGGATCATAAAGACTGAACTGATGCAATTCCTGGAAGTTCACGGCCTGCTATCGAAATGCCAACATGGGTTCCGAAAAGAAAGATCATGCACGACAAACCTGCTGCAATCTCTCCAGAGCTGGACCCGAGGTCTCGACGACAGGCACGCCGTCCACATAGCCTTCATCGACTTCCAGAAGCCTTTCGACACTGTGCCACACCAAAGGCTCTTACATAAGCTGAAAAAATAGGGATCGGTGACAACTTCCTTAAATGGATCGAAAACTTCCTTGTGGGTCGACATCAGGTTGTGTGCGTCGGTCGGGGAAAATCAGATCCGGCTACGATCGATAGTGGTGTCCCCCAGGGTTCAGTTCTGGGACCCATTTTGTTCCTTATCTACGTGGACGATGCCGCAAGAGATTTAGACTGTGAAGTAGCAATGTTTGCGGATGACATGAAGATATGGAGTATAATTCGGGGTCCTGCCGATGAAGACAGACTGCAGATGAACCTGACTCGGTTGGAGGAGTGGTCAAATCGTTGGCTCCTGCGGTTCAACGTTGCCAAATGTAGCATACTTCGCCTAGGCAACACAGTCAGATACGCCAGCACAAGAGCCTACTTTCTGGGCGGTGCAGCCCTACAAGAGGTCGAAGCCCAAAAGGACCTCGGTGCGCTTACGACGAGTTCCCTAAAACCATCCGCCCACTGTTCGAGGGTGGCAAAAAGCGCAGTGTCCGTACTGTACGCCATCAAGCGTACGTTTATGGACTTTGACGAAGAAGCTTTCTCTAAGACATTCGGAACATTCGTCCGGCCGCATTTAGAGTACGGCATACAAGCTTGGAGGCCGTGAGGTGTTGTGGATCAAAACTGCCTCGAAAGAGTCCAGAGGAGAGCCACGAAGATGGTCAGGGGTCAAAGCTCCTTTCCTTATGCGACCCGCCTAGTAAATCTGAACCTCTTTCCTTTGAGTTACAGGCAACTTCGCCGGGATCTCTTGTAAGCCTTCCGCATTGTTAAGGGGTTGGATTGCAGTCTGGCCTTCGAGGACTTCTTTGAATTTGCTACCACGACCAACCTCCGAGGTCACTCGTTAAAACTGCGCACTCAGCATGCAAGGTTGGATGTGCGGAAGTTCTCCTTCTCGGTTCGGGTGGTCAAACCATGGAATGAGCTTCCCGCAGATGTTGTGATGTCACCATCTATACAAAGTTTTCAGAAGAATCTGGACATATTTATGTTCAGAAATGACCAAGAGCGATGAGAAGTCGAGCTCACCCCCTGTAACTCCTTCTCATTTTGTCCCACCATTATGGGCGTGTTCGAACTATTTCAGCCCAGAACATCTATCTGTACACCACACATTTTTTACGTTGCAAATAGGGTACTCAAAGGCTTACGCCTATTTCCCTCAATAAACTGAACTGAACTAATCAGAGTGATCATGCGATTGCAAATTGCTTTTTATTAATGTGACTTTCAAATGACTTCCGTAAATACCGATCGTTTGCCATACAATCCATCTGTCATTTAGGTTTAATGATCGGCGCATCCTAATCGCCATATCTAACCGGATGGCGTTTCTGGACGGATCACTGGAAGCCAAAAGCCTTGAAAAATCTAGAGTTTGGGCAAACTGCGTGAAACTACCTAAACGAGTGACTATGTACTAACTGTACTAACAATACTAAGCAACTCTGCTAACCAACTAACTAACCAACTAACTATCTAATTAACTAACAAAGTAACTTACAAACTAACCAACTAACTAATTATGCTAACTAACTACCTAACTAACTAAAATAACTAACCAACTGCGTGAAACTCTGAAAGCGAGTAACTATACAGTAACTTCTTATTTGACCAATTCCTCAATTGACCGACTTTCTTAATGACATCTTCCAGACATCTGAGTGATCGGAAGTATCACTCAAACATAATTTCACAAACTTTAAACTCACGAACAGTCCCCGAATCTGTCGCGGCTCGCATGAGAATGTTCGACCAATCACTATTGGGCACTCTGAAATCCGTCCGCATATCGCGTTTTTTAATCGCTCGTCAACACACTCTTGTTAGTTCAGTGAATAAAGATGGGTACCAGAAGTTTGTTCATTGCTATCACTTGCGCCAGACTTCTCTTTTCAGTTGTTGCATGCAAACGAAGTCAGAAAACGCTGCCGGAGAGCGCATCGGTAGTAGCCAAAAGTATATTAAGTGCCAAGTCGATTTAACACGTTGACCAACGTGTCTCGAGATACGAGATCTCTTCGACCTTGTCTTAATGAAAATGCTGGCATAATGTCGACATTATTTCGGCATATCTATGTTTACGTTAGTGTAGTGCCGGCCTGGTTATGCCAGCTGTATGCTATGCACAATGTGCACATATGTGCCTAGGATACCTATGTAGCGTAGTATTATGCCGATTTATTCATGTCACTTTGATGCCCATTTGAAAGAGCCTCCCCGGCACTTCGTGTGGGCCGTGTCCGGGGTATCGCGAAATCGCGCTCACCATTCCTCCTTTACTCCCACCGCATTTAAGGGAAAGTAGAGCCTGATAAACATGATCTCTTTACTGATAAGTGAATTTAGGTATATTAGGAGCCATTCCAATTGTCTGCGTCGATCAGCGAGCACGTTGCTGGCAACCTTGGAGGCCGGTCGCGCCGCACCAACGAAATCCGCCGTGTTGGGATCTCTTCAGGCCTTCCACGTGTGGAGGGGGAGAGCGCAGCAGGTGCTGCGTAAGTCTGCTGCCACAGTAGACCAATTCAGGCTGTCTAACACCTGCTATGTGGTGGGACACACGGTAGACATCATCGTTCACGACGGTTGGTGCGCCACTTATAACTTAAAGTCGATAATTCACAACGCCTTCGTTGCTGGGTCAGCGATTCTTTGCTGGGTTTTATTGATGACTTTTCTTCTTTTATGCATTACTGTAGCTGGGTTCATGTCGTCAAACACGAATTGAAATTGAGTCACCCCTCGGATGACAGCAGGTATCAGTTACTGCTACAGACCCTCTGAGAGACTTCCCTTTCATTTGGAAAAAGCAATTGCCATAAACAGTACTACTAGTGGACATCTCATCTTAAAGCCAGCACTCGTCTTTATAAATATATATCTTTCTTGCCATGCGCATTGCAACGTCATTTTATTACGAGCCCACAGATTGACCATTCGCTGGGGAATTGCGGTCCCTTCTGCTTATTTATTGGTCTTCAGAGGGTTCATATCTTAAGTCAGTTTCGGTGAACTGTCAACCGACAGGTGCATACCGAAATTATGTCCATCGAAGTTCAAAAGCTTGACCCCGGCAGTCGAAAATGGTTCCATTGGCCGGAACACTGTCGTCAGACGTAAAGTCTGCTTCTTTTATGCAGAGACTTCGTTGAATGCCGTCCCACTGCACGCCATCCGTGGATATCCTGGTTGATCAGAAACTGGGCTTATAACCAGAATTTTGGGATTTTATATGAGATGATATGCTCCAGGTAAGTCTCTTGGAAGGGCAGGGCCAGCTTCCAGAGGACCAGCTTC